GGGCGCCTGTATATGTTGTGGTATTTATAGAGAGGACCATTAATCTACTGAGCCATTCCTTTTCACCTATTCCCTCATTCATTTCCATTCAAACAAACAGAAGACAAAAGGCAGGAGAAGTAACTCATGACACTATTCATACTACCTTCATGCCTCAGTTTCTACTCAGTTCCTCTCCAGTTCTCCATCCCTTTGGTAGATTTTTTTTTCCCCTCCAGCTTTCCTCCTCCCCCCTTCCCCCAAGCTAATCTTGCTGACCTGGTCGCCGTAGTGACTAACTGTGGCTCCCCAGTCCCACTAACGCTGCCATCCTCTCTGTCCCGTGTGTGTGCGTGCGTGTGTGCATGTGTGTCTCTTTGTTTGTGTGTGCGCATAAACAAATGTGCACATGCGTGTTTGTGCGGGCACGTATGCGCGTCTTTGTGTATGTACATGTGTGTATGCCAGGCGTGTGAGTTGCTGCAGGCAGAAAGGGGCAGAGTAGAGAGGTTGGCTCAGATTGTGTGTGAGCAGCGCTCCCAGCTGGACAGCTGCCCTGAGGCCACCAAGGAGCCCCTGCAGGAGCAGCTGGCCAGGGTCAGTACACACACACACACTCGCACCTCACAAACACATGCACAGGAAGATACAGTGTGTACTCGAGTGTGTATCCGTGCAGGCAAAACGCAACACATAGACGGGCATAGAAGGAAGAATACTGTAAATAAATGGGAAATGCGACAGCTGTGCATGCATACACTGATAGAGGAAGCTCATAACAAAAGCAGATATGCATATTGACACTCAAAAATACAGTATATGTGGACAGGTGTTCACATAAACACACCCTGTACTTGGACTTGCATGTGAACATGCACACATTTTCTTTCCTGAGCTGACTTGCTCTCCGCCCCATAGCCATCTTTGATCTTTACCCAGTTCATGTTTTCTCTTCTCTATGTCTAACTTTAGCTCTCTATATCTACACATCTCCTCATTTCATCAGAAGGGTTGAGCCTGTAAGAGTATCTCTAGAGTTTGGGTTGAAGACATGTTTGACTATTATGGAAACCTTTGTGTTTGACACATAACAATATCCATCCATCCATTAGCTATATTCACTTATCCTTCAGAGAGTCACAGGGGGCTGGAGCTGATCCCAGCTGACATTGTACACCCTGGACAGGTTGCCAATCAATCACAGGGCTTACACTGTCACACACACAGACAACCTTTCATGCCTACATTCACTAGAGAGACGAAATTAACTTAACCTGCATGGGTTTTCTCCAGGTGCTCTGGTTTCCTCTCACATAACAATTATATTGATTTCTGTATTTTGGGGGAATGCCTACAGTATGCAACATGTCGCATGTGTTGTCAGATGCTGGTTATGCTTTGGTGTAGTAGTCTGCATGACTGTTAAGTGTTGACAAAACATTAGGGATTTGTGTGTCTGGTTTGCTTCGTGTCAGTGTATTGTGTCACGTTTTTACAATATTTTTGACATACTGTGAAAAATTAGCATCACTAAAACTTTTCAAGGGTTTTTTCAGGCTTTTGGTGTGTCATAAACACTTGCATATGACACGGTTCGCATTCATTAGAATTATTTCCCAATGATTTTGTTTAGAATAGCTTTGATCAAATTCAAAGCGGATCGAGTCGAATTCAAGTGTTCACAATGTGTCTGACACATGTAACCTAATATATTACTGCTTCAGTACTACTCCAGTCCGCAGGGCTACCGTCCACCGTTAAACTTTTTATTTGACCGATGTATTTGCATGCATTTAACTGCAATACATGTTGTAAGTACAAATCCTTCGGTCTTGTATACTGGTACTTTTTACCTTCATGTCTGCATCTTGCATGTTTTCTCAAGTGTATGTGCTATAAAGTCTGTGTTAAGTCGAGTGTGTGTAGTTAGATTTGCCCTGTACACACGCATTCCTTTGTCCTGTCTGTTCACCTGTGCATTATTTCTGGGGTGTGTTTGTGTGTCAGGACTGCGAGGTGCTCGAGATGGAGACGAAGCGCTTCGAGGACCTGGAGTTCCAGCAACTAGAGCGAGAGAGCAGGCAGGACGAGGAGAAGGAGACCCATACGCAACAGCTCCTCCGGGAGATCGCGGACTACCAGCGGAGCAGTGTCACTCGCAAGGTAACGGCTATCTGTTTGCATGTTAAGTCAGTCAAACCAGGGGAAAAATGTATGCAATAAAAGTGCAATAGTGCAATATCACAATATTAGATTTTGAGTTCAAATCCATAAAACAAGACCATAGCATTATATTTTTACATTTTTGTAGCCTAAGAGCTTCATGGTGAAACAAACTTATAAACTTGTTTAGTTGCTTTGGCACTGTCATGCTCTATAAGTGAGCTGGAAACATGCAACAAGCTTGTTTTGCTTTTCCTTCAGGAGCGACTGTTAACGCTGAAGAAGCAGGCGACACAGATTACCCAGCAGGCTCAGCGAGAGAAGGAGAGCTTCTTGAAGGAGAGGAGCACCCTCGAAGCAATGCTGCAAAGAGTAAGAGGATATCCATGTTTGCATGTGACCATCCTTGCTTCTGTGTATGAATGGGAAAAAAAATGTGTATTTAACATTGTTTTCCATTTCCTTTTTTTCTTTTTCTGCCTGCTAGGAGAAAGAAAACCTCACCACACTGGAAAGAAAATATGCTGACCTCACTGGTGGCCGGAGTTTCACCCTAAGGGAGGTAGGTTTGATCTGTCAGGCAAGAAAATGAGAACTATCCTTCTATCGAACTGTCAAACTCCTCAACTCTTAGTGGCCAGGACCATTCCCACCTCATTACGTTTAATCTTTGGGGTTTCCTTCTCTGTTTGCTAGGATACAGCCTCTCTGGCTGATGTCTGTCAGTCTTTCACTGATTGTTGCCGCGGCAACACCTCGGCCATACTTTCTCCTCCTCCAGTCGATTTTTGTGCCCTCTCATCCCTCCTTTCCTCTATTTTTCTCAAGAATGCTGAGGTATTTTGTCTTGTTTACTAATATATCCCTGTCTTTTTTTCCTCTTTGTCCAGATAGTCTGTTTAAATCCATCTCATCCTTCCTCCCTGTCCCTCGTTCCTCCTTTCCTTCCGGTTGCTTTTTTTCCCCCTGCCACTCTTTGCAATACAGGAATGGAAGAAATTACAGGAATCTGAGACCTATTTCATTAATTCTGTGCACAGCTCATACTCACATATTAATACTAAGGTAACCTTGTAAGAATGTCTGTTGTCTTGTGTACACAACTCAATTCATGTTAACATTGCAGTCTAACTTGTTCATAAGTGAAGACATGTTTGCTTTGAAGGTGCGGAAATCACCAAATTCATTCTAACAACTAATTCTTAAGTTTGTCATAACATCTCAATATGGCTGACTCACTTCATGCTATGCCTCACCCCTTCTCTCCCCGTTTCTCCACATGATACTTTCCAGGGCTATGTCACAGTCAGTGAAATCAATGAGCTTTACTCACAGCTTGGGGGGGACCCTAAACCCGCCCCTCGCTCCACTCTGGCCAATGCCTCTCCCGAGTCTGTGGCAAACCCCTCCCCTGACGGCGACACCCCCAAACCACCGGAGGATGAGGTGTGTGTAGTAGTGTGAAGCGTGTGTAGTTTAGCACACAGACGCAGATGATGCAAAATTGTGTGTACGTGTGTTTGTTTGTGTGTATTAGTCTTATTTTTCCCAATTTCCCTTCCTGATTCTTCTTTTTTTTCCTATTTTAATTTCTGACAAATGTTCCTTTCTTCTTTTCAAAGCTCTGTCATTCTTCCTCCCCTGCCGACTGTCACTCATCTTCCTCCTCTTCTTCCTCCTCCCATCTAAATCCCCGCCCCCTCCCCAAACCACCCTCTGTGCACTGGCCAGAAAACATGGTGTCATATCGAGACCCCTCTCCCCTCCCTGACTCTCCCCCACCTCCCCTTCCTGTCAAAAAACACCATCACCGACACAGGCAGGTAACGTGTGTGTGTCTCCGTGTATCAGCAACTGTGTGTTGATCCAGATGCACATTTTGCACAATTGCTTTGGTTGATTAAAGTTGATTATAATAAACAATATATTAATAAATTAGTATTAATTCATATGGCTGTTTGCCACAGTGTCTTTTTGATAATAAGAAAAAAAAATGGGACACTTTAAATCCCACACATAGGAACTTCAACACTTTAGAGTCATTACATTACTCCTCTAGAGAAGTGGGATAGTGTTACACGACTTAAAATGATTTATGATGAATAATCAATAATCAGTTAACCGTGTATACCCCTTCCCTCTGGTGTGTGTGTGTTTGATCAGCATTTCCGTTTGCTGGAAGAGAGGAAGAGGTCTGAGAAAGAAGGCGGCTCCCATCTAAGTGACACATTACCCAGGAAGAGAACCACACCCACCATGACCCCCCAGTTCACGTGTGCAACGCTGGGACGCAGCTACCCTAACAAGGTACACACTCATAGATGTGTGCATTAATGACGCCAATCAATACAAATAATTCACTGTTTCTTTCTACTGTGTACATTGTGTCATTTCGAAGATGCAAGTCCGATTATTAATGACTGACACATGGAAGTAACAAGATTTTGTCTCTTCTTGGTTGTTTATAGTCCCATCAGCCCCTGGTACAAAGCACAAGTTGTGGCAGCATTCTTCCAAGAGTCCTGTCCTTATCCAATAAGGAAACTGAATCTCGACGTCTGCATAAAGGTACAAACAAATACACTCCTCTCTGGGTTGTCATCTGAAAATACACCTCATGGTAACTTCTATCCTTGTTGGAGGTTTTGTGTGCTCCTCTTTGTGTTTTGTTTGAGTACAAAGTTTCTCATTTGTGTATCTGGCAGTGGGAGTAGTGCAGGAATGTAAGTGGAGGAGGGTATTGTGTATGTATGTGTGTGTGTGTGTGTGTTTGGCTGCTCGGTTGAGTATAAACAAGTTGGTACATTGGTTAAAGTTTTGTTTGTTACCAAAAAAAAAAAGCCACTAGATTTCTTCTAGGTAAACTTTGTGTCACAAACTTTAACCAGCTTTTTTTGACATCATAAAGAAAATCTGCTGTTCACTCACCACAGTATAATCCTTTCCTATGTCAGGGCTGTACAATTTAGCTGCGCAAAGATGAAGGGTGGTCTGTTACCTGAGGTTTGACGTGTATATGGTGTTAGAATTTTAAATGAAAATGTAATGGCTTGTGTGCAGACTGAGCATTTGCATTGTTTCATTGCTGCAAAATTCATATTCTACAGTACTGTGTGCCTTGTGTCGTAATAGTACTCCTGTTTTTCCGGACACTGGCACGTGTATCTGGTCCCTCAGTCCCTTTGGTCCCTTGATCTGGCTCATCAGATGGGTGGGTCTGCTGCATGGGGCAGATGGTATCAGGTTTTTCTTCCTGTACCCAGAGGCTGAGTTAGTCTCTCTTTTAAGTATCTGCACCATAATTCAGTCAACATTCCTCCTTCTACTTTTGAGACGGCCTAAGCTGCTTTTAGGACTCTGTTGTACCGCATGTACTCGTCTAGCAGACAATTTTTGTTTGAGAGCCCTACTTTCTGGACACATAGTAGTATATAGTTACAGGTGTGGATTTATTTTTCACTGAACGTATAAGAGCATTCCACAGTGGCGGGGATTTGTGATCCAAAATTGAAGCCACCTGGGCAAACTGTTGTCCCAGATGGAGTGACGCAGACAGCAGGTACAGCACGTGTGCATGCATGCAAAGGAAGAATAAGGAATGTTAGTAGCTACTGAAGCTGTTTTCTTTTCTCTTCGTGCGTGTGTTTCCAGGTCAGCCCAGCTCCCGAACAGCTTCCCAGACCAATGTCTACCTCGATGCCTTTGGGTACCGTGACAACCAAGCCTTTGACACAATGAGCGTGGATAGTACCGACTCCATTGAAACCAGCATCTCTGCTTGCTCACCTGACAATGTCTCCAGGTAAGGGACACATGTATGTATGTCAGCGGTGTACAATTTGTTTACCATGAATATTTCTATATGAAGTATGTCCTGATGAATAGTACTTGCTGATTTGAAAAAAAGACTGAGAGAAAACTGACAGACCAAGAAAGAAGTGAATGAAGGTTGAAAAGTTGAAATATGGCAAGAGACATCTGAAAGCTTGAAAACACAGAAATGTCTCTTTGTGTTCATAATATAAAACACTGACTGTGGGAAGGAAACGGGATGGGGAGGGGGGGGGCAACAAAGAGAGAGTAGAAAGTGAGTTAATGTAAAAAGTGTGTGGAGAGAGGTTTCCCGCCTTTCATGGTCCCCCCTGGAGAATAAGATGTGTGGAAGTGTGTGTGTGTGTGTGTGTGTGCGTTACATGAGTTAAGGGGGACTCTTGATTAGTGTTCTAGGGGTCAAGTTACGGAAGGTGCGTGTGTGTGTTTGTGTGCGTGTGTGTGTGTGTGTCTGTTCACAGTCAACCCCCTCCGGTTCAGATGAACTGAGCAAAGCAGTATGAGTATGGAGGTACATTTGGGGGTCTACCCCCCGTCTGGACTAAAACCATGTGTGCTTGCTTTCCTTCTCCCCTTTTTACAGTGGTTGCATCTGTCTTTTGTCTCCCCTGCTCTTGTTTCTCTGAATGGTATGGTCTTGTTTCTGCTGATACATTTTGCACAGTCCCAAACCATTTGCAGATTGACCCCTCTGCAGTGCTGAGTTTTCCTGGAACAGACTGCCTCTGTGATCCTCAGTATGGATCCAGTTGGACTGTTTGGTACTGGCTCAGATTGGATAGGAAGACGTGTGTGGTGGAACCTGGATCGGTGCTGGACAAAAAAGTAGTTTCATGATAGAACTGGATTTTTTTTTTCTTGTCATCTTGTCAGTGATTTATCATGTTTTCTGGAGGCAGAAGTGTTCGAGCAAGATAAATAAAGTTCTCGAGTAATCCACATACGGTACTTGAATAAATATATTTGAACTGGACTATGAGTGCGATTCCCTCTCATCGATTGAGGTAAGAGAATGGCAAGGGGATGGGAGGAAGAGAGAGCTGGATGGATGTTACAATAAGGATGAAGCTAGGCTTAATTAAGTGTAGTAATGACAGGGAAATGTGATGTAAGATTAGTTGGCGTCTCGGATGGCATGTTAATTATTTTTTATCTCTTGCCTAGTTTCTATAGTTCAAAGAGAATAATTAAGAACATGGCCACTACCTGTAAGAGTGTTTGCTAGTATGTAAATTGGCTGCATGCAGTTAAAACTATGGCAGAATATGAAGTGAGAGCTGTGTTTATTTTACATGAAACTCGCAAGTGATTTTGAAAAAATACCGGAGAGCGGGAAAGCATTCTCTTTCCTCCGCGTTCTCTTCTTTTTTTCATCTTTTCATACCCTCCCTCCCAATCCTTTCTAATTCTCTTTTTAATTACTCCGGGTACCCTACTTCTCTCTCTCACCCTCCCTTCCTTCCTGATTTGTTTAGACTGAGTCTGATGTGTACCATTCATCTTAACAATGTTGTGACATCATCACGGATCAACGCTGGGTATCCATTTCCTTCTGGCTCGGGATCAGAGAGAATTTGCGTGTGTTTGCGTGTCACAGAGAGAGAAAGGAAAACTGAGCAAGAGAATGAGCGAGAGAGAAAGAAATAGTGTTTAACATGACAAACATATACACAAATCCCTTCCCTGTGATGTCAGTCAAGAATGCATATCATGTGTAAACCATCTGCAGTCTGGAAGACCTGAACCTAGACTGGGCCTACTGTTCTGAACTGAAGACAGGCAGTGACACAGCAGAGAGTCGGGAAGACCGAGAGGGAGGAAAGAGAGATGGTCCGATCCTTCGACGGGCCTCCTTTCCTACTGCATTTCCTCTCTGATTCGACACACACACACTTGCATAAACAGTGTATAATCAGGAGTATTCTCAGGAGAGTGTAGCCTTCTTGTAGGAATGCGAAACAGAACACGACTGTGCATGTTTTCTCTGTTATTATCCTTAGTCTTGCATAAAGATTAATATACTCCATCATGTCAGCAATAGCTTTAGTACCAAGCTATAGCAAGTAGCAAGTATATCTGTACATTCACTACTGTCGCACTGACCCGGAGATTCTCTGAAAATATAACACCTGAAAAAACACATGGAAAAGTCCGAATGAATTCACTTTGTCCTGCTTGCTGCCGGTGCAGGAGGTTTAATTGATTAACTTGGCAGCTGTTCAGTTTAATAAAATGTTGTAGTGTATTTCAGGTTCGTTGCACAGAAAAGTGGTGCCTGCTTTTTATTTCTTCTGATGTGTGTTGTATGTGTTTGTGTGCTGCAGTGCCAGTACTTCAAATGTGGCCAAGCTAGAGGAGATGGAGCGTCTGCTGAGAGAAGCCCAGGCAGAGAAGAGAAGCCTCATCGAACACAAGGTCAGTACGTAAAGAAATTAGATTACACTGATTTTATTCTTTGGTTTTCACTGGTTTACAGTTTGTTAAAGGCACACAGGCCAAATGTATAAGAGCATTAATGGTGTTGCGTTATTTGCCTTTGTAATAAATCCCCAAATACACTACAAAAACACTACCTGGTAAAATTGAACACATTCATTTCCCAATTTCTAGTGTGGGTGTGTTTTAAAACTTTGTAACGCTTTTAATGATTCTTCAGGATCGAGAGATGGACATGCGAAAGCAGGCGCTGGAGGAGGAGCGGAGAAGAAGGGAGGATCTGGAGAAGAGGCTACAGGAGGAGACAAACAGACGGCAGAAACTCATTGACCGCGAGGTGAAACTGCGAGAAAAACAGAGGGCGCAGGTAGGACAGAAAAAGCTTTCTTTAACAGTAAGAACAATTTGTTATGGCGTCATTTTTTATCCAAAAGATAATTTTGAACTTGATGTCACCTTCATAGGGAATTAACATATTACTCTTTCACAAAGCATTCCATCTTGTTTTTGTATGTTTCATGCATACTTCCCTCTTTCTGCATGGTTTCAATCATGTCCGTGCTGACAGTTCTCAGTATAAGCTTAATCCATCATCTTTTGTTCTCTTGCCTGGGCCATCAACTGTTGGCAGCAGAAGAAAGAATCTTTAATCTTTCTTAACATATGATATACATCTGCATGATTATAGAAACGCAAAATAAATTATAAATACATTTCCTCTCCTTTTCAATGAACCCATTCACTCATTTCTCTCTCCAGTCCCGGCCACTGACGCGGTACCTGCCTGTGAGAAAGGACGATTTTGACCTGCGGGCTCACATCGAGTCTGCGGGCCACAGCGCAGACACATGCTTCCACTTGTCCATCTCGGAAAAAACCTGCCGTGGCTACTTGATCAAAATGGGAGGCAAAATCAAAACCTGGAAGAAACGTTGGTTCGTCTTTGACCGCAACCGACGCACGCTCTCCTACTATGCAGGTAGGGCAGAATAAAACTCACAAAAACACAGAAACATACAAATGCAGACAACTGTGAATAGCATCCACACAGATGGCAGTGCACACACAGGTATCTTACATATGTATTTAAGTTGATTTTAAAATGTCGTAATATATATAAATATATGTTGTATATTTTAAAATGCATTTAAAATATATATCAACATATATAAATAAGAGAACACGCGACAGTACATTTACACATATTTGTATTAATAGCTACTGTTATATCTTCTGCAGATAAGCATGAAGCCAAGCTGAAAGGAGTCATCTACTTCCAAGCTATTGAAGAAGTATATTATGATCACCTGAAGAATGCACATAAGGTATGTGTTTACGTGTGTGTGTATATGGTTATACAAAAGTGATGCATGAAAAATAACTAAGTATAATTTATCTTTAATATCTTCATAGTAATTAATTTAATATCCTCATTTGTAAAATTCTTCTTTCTGTCTCCTCCCTGTGTCTCCTTCAGAGCCCAAACCCCTCCCTGACCTTCAGTGTGAAGACTCATGACAGAGTCTACTACATGGTCGCTCCCTCTCCTGAGGCCATGAGGATCTGGATGGATGTGATTGTCACCGGAGCCGAGGGATACACCCAGTTCATGGTGTAGTGAAGGGGCAGGATGTACCAACGTGCTTCGACTCTATGTGGCTCAAAAGACTGTTTTTCTCCTCGGACTTTTAAAGTGCCTGGATGGATGTTAATCATTTTTTAACATTTTATCCGCCTCATTTGCAAGATGGGCAGGGTTTACAATCACACGTGGAGGATTCGTGCGGAAAGTGTCGGCAGATGCAAGATCATGATTTAAACATTTTTAGGCAATCTGGTTCAATCCCAGATAAGTAGATCTGAATCGAACATCAACTAGGAATACCAGTGAACCAGTAGTTGGGTTTAGAAATGTGCCATACAAAGCCTAAACCATTTTAACATTTCTCATGTGACTTGTGGTCAATTATGCAAAGTTTTAATCATTTTTAGACCATTTCCTGTACATAATTAAAAACAAAAAGCATATTAATTTAGTAAAGGTATTAATTTTCTACTTTTTTCATCTTGATTTAATTTCATGTATCATTACTGTGGCATTCTCAGGTCTTAACTGTGTGTGTGTGGATGTGCATGCATGCATCCTACGCTCACGTGTGAATTTATACACGTGTGCTAAAGAAGTGCCTGTTTTGTGTGCATATTCTATGTACACGCCCATTTACTGTGAGCTTCTAATGTAGCTCCAAGGTGCTATTCTTACATGGTGAATGACACTAGCAACACCCCTCATGTAAAACCATTAAATTGGGGTGTAATAATACACTGCAATTGGAGTTTGAAAATGGATTACTGTTCTGGGTTTACAGTGTCACCAAATGAAGCTCAAACGACTGTTAGAACGGCGACTTGTTATTTTCCAATAGAAGGAGTTAAATAAACATGAGGAATAATGAGTAAAAGGCACAACGTTGTGATATTTGTACATTTTGTTTCCAAGTTGTAGTTAGTTTTAAAATAGTTACGGTCCATTAGAAATGTAAGATTCCTGTTCGTGCCTTTTCTTTATCATATTTTGTGTGACAGTATTTTGACAAGCCTTTTATCTATATTTTTAAGAGCTGCATATATCTATATACTAAATGCCAAACTGCCGGTCTGTGGCGAGAAAACACACACACATTAGTTTTTTGTGAGAAAGAGCCCCTGTAGGATTAAGTTGTCTTTGAAGGTGTCAGGAGGAAAAAATCTATGGTACACACACTCCCTTAAGAGGCCTTTAGTCATTAAAGCTGACTGAAGTATCGTGCTGCTTGGTCCACTGCATTTCATTGCATTGCTTTTATTACCACTAATTCAACGTTTTAGTTAAACTACCACTGAAGCTGCTTTTATATTGTATATCATACTACATATTACGTCTGAATAATTCAGTCCACTGATCATCCTGCCACTTGGTGTTTTGTTTTTTTTGGTTTTGTTTTAATGACCAAAGTACATGTTTATGTGGTATAATATGTATATGTGGTTTCTTTGCTTTTACTTCTCTTTGTTCAGCCCGATAAGATCAAAATTATATCTGTTTTTACATGATGGCCACATGGTTGTTTTCCACCAACTAAAGGAGCTGTTACAGTGGAAGCTTCCATGAGCCCAACTTTTTTTTTTTTAATCATTATTTTTTTTATGTTGATCCTACTGTATTTATGCCATTACCAATGCATGTATCTTAATTTTGTATTTCCATATGAATAATAAAAATGATATATTTTACCTTTACTTTTCCTGAGAAGTCACTTTCTTGGAGAGCATGCTGCCTCCCAAAATAAACTACAGTGCCATTTTTTTTAATACTCTTTATTTAGTGTGACCCCTTACACTAGTTACTTTTCAGACAAGTAAAACAAAGCATGTAATAAACAACCAACATGTATGACTACTGTAGGTTCCTTACCACCTCACCCCACATTCACATCCTCATAATGATAATAATAAAAATAAAACAATAACAATAATAATTGTAATAATAATATCTTATCTTAATATCTTAGAGTATAGTATTAAAAAAAATACAATTAATGAAATTTATAAATTCCCTTTACTAAGTTGTGGTGGTTCTGGTTTCAGCCAGTTATCTGTTTAGGTGCTGCTATTCTTTGGATTCTAAAAATATATTTATCAGTCCAAGGTGCCACTTTAGCAGGGATCAGATTGCCGACAACAAAATAACGGCTGCAAATTACACAATGGACACAGGAGGTTTAGAAACATGCCATGCTTGTTGAGCACTACGTTCTATCATATAGTTACATTTTAACTCTTGTGCCAAATGTGTAACATATATCCAATACCTTCTTCAGAAACAAAGATTCAAAATAACTTCCAGTCACTAAAAAGTTCTTAAAGGAATAAGCAACATTAACCAGTTAGTGTGTCAAACTTCACCACAATAATATGGGAAACAACTGCAGGAAACAGCAAGGTTTTCTCTGTGAATGAGGTTAGTAATATTAATCTCAATAACGTCTATCTTATCTAATATTGCAATCATAATAATGTTGTGAATTACATTTGACATATTAACAGGGATGCCTATTTTTTATTTTTTTAAAGTGGTTAATATTTGGAACACAATAGTTGTAAGGTATAAATCTTGCTCTTTTAAAATGAGGTCCAGCCAGTAAGAGTCAGTAACATGGAGATAGAGCCCCGCCATGTGGCAGAGGTCGGTACTGTCACACAGCTCAGGTTCAGTCTGTTATTATATACTGTACTTTACGGTGGGATATTACAATGAAGCGACTGAAAAAGGAACACTGGTAAAATAAATAATAAAATAAAATGCCTGTTTTTCCTCTTTAGATTGAGCAGACTCTGGCTGGTATCCCGTCATACCTTGCGGTTTTAGTGAATAAAAATATTTATTTGAGGGGGGGAAAGGATGGGTAGGTGGGATTATATCAATATATAAACCGCAACGCAATTTAAATTCATAATAATACATTTAAATTCAAATTTTTTGAGCAATAGGAAGCACTTATTATACGAACAAAAGCAGACAGGTGCAGATTTGATTCACATAAAGCAACAATTCACACCAGAATAACCCCAAAATACCTGAACGTCTGACCTAATAGCGTTTATTGAATGAAAACGTCTGCGGAGGGTTTCTACTTTCTCCCTTCTGGTTGCTCTGAACACCTTACCCACAATGCACTCCGAGTGTAAAATAGGTCTGAGGTGCGAATAAATTGGCAGGCAAGCGTTTGTTGCAATATTTCATTTACATTTATTTTACATTTAAGCAGTCCGAGTCCATTTAAACACGCTGGAGGGACAAACATTTACTCACACCCACAGTCAACCCTCTATCCACCGGGTCCTATTTATAGCGTGGGACTCAGCGGAAGTTGACGGCTGGTCCGATGGCAGTGGGGTTTCAAAATGAATGCCACAGACAGTTTCAGTACTCCGGTTACTCCTCCCTCTCTCACTGTCGGCCTCGACTAGCCTTTTCACGATGACAGACTTAATGTGGGAGTGTTGCCAGTCGTCGCTTAAGTCAAAACAGACCCATTCATTTCAATATAAAAGATGACCAGTCGCGGTGTGCTTTTATTTTGAAATGTTGACACCAAACCAAAAGTCTTGTTTTTTGACAATGAAACAGAGAGTTTTTGGGTGTACAAATAGTGTACACTAAACATGTTAACGCTGAGTCACCATGCAAGAGCAATACAACGTTAACAGTGCGGTCACCTGGGATTTTATTAGACCAAAGGGTGCTTGTGTTGCCTCATTGGGGTCGCTGACATGTTAAAAGTAAAATCACATCAGCCTCAAAAGGCTGTCTCAGTACAAATACAAAGCAGCCCAGTAGATGTTTGTTAGGATTAGGGCTTGTCTGAGTTTATGTTTTCATTTTTTGTATATGGGGAAAAGTGTAAACCTCTATAATATATATATAGGAAAAATACCCTTATTACTGTTATTATTATTACTCTCATATTCTCTGTTTTCATTTGGGAGCGCTCTGTTTATACTGTGTGTCAGAGACTAATGACAGGGCCCCGGTGGAACCGCTTTATGCACATGACACCTTGAAGCATTAATCTGCACATAAACAGCTCATAGTAATTTAGGCATGGCCACACATCTGTGCTGTAAATACACTTGCCTCGCCTATTCTGTTCATAGGAGATGTCATTCATTTCAGGGGACCATGCCATAGGATTGACGATTCCTGTTGTACGTTTACTCCCCTTCTGTACTGTCTGTTATTTTCTTCAACCCTGATTTGTTTCCTGCTGTTGAGTGAGTGTGTGTGCTGTGAACATAGGCTCTCACTGAGTTACAGCCCAGTGAGAGTGAGCAGACCATGTTTACAGCCTCTGATGCTTACTCACCAGCTCCTCATCGTAGCCTAATAATCTTCTACATCTGGGACACTCGTTATTAGGCCATTCAGAAATACATACACTGCAGAATGCGTGTGACAAATCTTATAGCAAAAATGAGATTAATGCACAAGGGGAGGGGGGGGGGGGGGGGGGGGGGGGGGGGGGGTTAAAGCTTTAACTGGATTCATTGATTTTTAAGACCAGTGGGGCCCCGGCTGCAGTTTGCTTTACTGTCATTCTCGTCTGATTTACCCTGCATCAGTTCAACAAGCCTGGGCTATAAATAGACACAGTGAGTGTACTTGGGTAGACCGCTGTGGTAGTGTGCATGTGTGTGTGTGTGTGTGTGTGGTGTGTGGTGTGTGTGTGTGTGTGTGATGTGTTCTTTAAGAAATTCTGCGTAATATTGAGTTCCTTACTAGGGGAGACGGACGGAGAGCAAAGAGAGAGAGACAGAGGCGGAGTTACTCACAACACCAACACTCCTCAACCACACACACCCGCTCCCCTGCCTCTACTACCTCCATCATTTCTGTAATCGAGCGTCGAGCTGCATGATCTGCACCTCTGCAATTATGCACGTTTCGTGTCGGATGGGATTCTCGGAAAACGCCGCAAAGCCGGCGCAGGCACGGAGCTCCGGCGACGCCGCGTCCCCCGCAACTTGTTAGCGTGTTGTGTGTTTGTGTGTGTGCGTGTGTGTGAGTGTGTGTGTGTGGAAGCAAGAGGCGGGCTCGTCTTGTTTATCCAAAATGACTCGACATGGCTGTGGCTTTGACTCAACGTACGCGGTGCGCGCGACCCCTGGGAACCGTAACCAGTTGAGAGAGTGAGGCGCAAATCATCTTAATGAAAGTCATAAGGTGAGTCCATCCGGGAGCTTGTGTTCTCCTCTGTTTTCCTTTTCCATGTCCGCGGCTGGTGGCACACACAAACACGACCAGGCCAGTGTTGATTTTATTTTTTTCCCCCAACCCCTCAACACATTTTACAGCAACAGCAGCTGGCCAAGCAATGCGGCGTGAATTGGCCTTGTTGCTGTTATACTCCGTGTTCCTCGCTTTAATGGGGGTATGGTAACATGTTTTGGTGCTTGAATTGATTCTGCCGAGCATCTCTAAAAACGCGATCGGGTGATGCACATTGCGAAGTTATTTTCGTTGGGGGGGGGGGTATCGTTTTCTCTGTGTTAAAAAAAAAAAAAAAAAAGAGGTCCACCCGTCTTACGCAAGCGCATTTTAACCTTACAGTCGTTATAGGAACGCATTAAGCTGGCAAAACAATCTTCCAGGAAGAAACATGCACAGTGGAAACAGACATCACTTCCCAGCACATTATGACCTATCTGTGTGGCAGGGCCAAATATACCAGTCTCTATCCTAATGGCTGACACTATAATAAACCTGGGGGGGGGGGTCTGAATAATACTGCTCTTGAGTCAAGAAGTCAGTTTGGGGTTAATTCCTAATACCTTGTTATTGCCACATACATTCTCAGGGCTGACATTGCCCTGTGGCTCCAGTGTGTTGTTGGAGCAAAGAGGAATGTGTGATTTTCAAAATAAGTGGCCGTTGGGGTGTCTCTTCTGAGGCTTGACTGGAGGTTGAAGTTTCAAACGCGTTTCATTTATCGCCAATGAAATGTTTATTTTGATATTGGGGACAGTAAGAGCCGACCCCTCTCACAGCTTAACGTGTTTGCCAGGAAGTGTGTGAGCAAGTTTTAATCTTTCATTTTAAGTTGCACAGCTTATTAGAACCTCAATTTTACAGTTTATTGTAAAGGGGTTGCAGAACACACTCGCCTTGACAAACTTGTTTGTTAAAAATAAGATTTTCTTGACACAGACTATAAACACTAAGTGATTTTCTCTCCGTGGGGGTTCAGCTGGTTCCTTTCTCTATCCTTAACTTGACCTCTGTAACCATTTACCCTTGGCAACGGGGTCCTGCACTGCAAACATGAATGCGTGGACCCAAAACAAACCTCCGCTGTGCTTTTCTAGAATGGCTGAAGGTAGCATTACTTAGATATCCAGATATCTCCTCAGTCACAATATGGACCCTTTAAGTCTCCCTCTAATAACAAAAAGTATTTCTGCCTTGCAGCATGCTACGTCAAAGTAGTGGTGCTCACTGCCCACTAATGCTTTACAGGCAGGCATAAGGAGAGGACTCTGTGGAATTGGCCTTTCAGTTCCCTGATGACTTTTTCTTGGCTATAGTGCTTCAGTAAAGTACACTGTTTGTCCTCAAGCCTTTCTTTGGCGTAACGCAGGAACAAAGGCAGGTATAAAATCACCAAGGCCAGAGCCCCAGGGAGTGAGAAGTGTGTGGTTTTTTTTGTGTGTGCCTGTGCTAGGAGAGCCCTGTTCTGTTCCTTTGGAGATGTAAATATGTCTTTAAAGTTAACTGAATTTGTCTCCTACCAAGAGTCAAATCAGCCTATATGCAAACAGCTCAGTGCAACGCTCGCTGGTCTGGACTCACTGGACCTCTGTCACTGACATACATTTACTGGCTGCAAGCCAGCATGCATGCAGAGCGGCTAATTTTAGATCTTTGTTGGCTCATAGAGAACCCTCACTTTTGATCCAAATATATGACTGAATGGATAGATTTGTAGGTGACTTTGGGCCATAGTACACAGTTCAACTACGCATCATGTTACTAGATTTTTAATTAAATTATGTGAAATGGATTTTATTGAACCATCCCATGCTGATCACTGTTTATACAATGTACCCATGTTGCACTCTCATTTTCCAACTGACCCGTGCCCATCTGGGAAGCTCTTACAGTAAAACTGTGACACCAGCCTCACATAACCCCCTAAAGCAGAAAAAGTAACTGACATTTCTACTTATTATTTTCCCAAAAAATATTGCCATGTTACATTGATGTGTAGTGGTATCCTAGTATTTGGTCAGTACAACACTTCTAGCCTTAACCTGAATTAGTACATTGGAAACTGGACCAATATAACAGGACTATATATTTTGGTTCTATAAGATTTCCTCCTGTACACTCTGGGATTAATGCAATCCAAGTAATGGAGCAGCTTTAGTGATGCTCTAACTAATCATGTAGACAATTCAAACACATACTCGCCAGAGGGACGTCCCATCCAGCATATGAAATATTGGAAATCTGTCCCTCCCCCAATACTGTAATGATCCTCCAAAAGCTGAAAGAAAGCTATTTGTTCCCCTTAGTGTTAAACCGATTCCAAAACACACTGGATGTGTTGCATTCACCAAACTCGTCCTGCCGGCTTCATGTTGGGGTACATGTCAGCCATTTGAGGTCGCAGCCATGTGTGTGTATGTTTTTTTAAGCAAACATGGCAAAGTCCATGTTGGGTTTGAAAGCACATTCTGGTTGTTGAGTGACCAAACGGCACCAAACAAACTAGACAAACACGACAAAACGTATGCTAATACAGATGACACACAGTAGTACATCACATTCACACAGCAAAGCATCACATGTGTGTTAAAATATTCAAAATGAGGATATTTGTGTAAAATACAGTCAGTGGTTACAGGGTTCAGCAGATATAGGCATTTTTCATGTTGACTTTAAAGATACTGATAGAACTCTTTATGTATGGTAAAGTGGACTGTCCAAAGGCAGTGAGCAAAGGGAACAGTGCAATCTCTTAGAGAAGTTATTCTTCTGGATTTAACAGCGCTTTCAAAACGAAAGTGAACAAAGTCACAAGTCACGTTGTGCAGGAGGCATCAAACATATTTGTTGTAGAGCTGGGGAAGAACCTGTGTGTGTGTGTGTGT